GATAGAACCAAGAGTCCTGAAGATCTCAGTTACCACTGTCTCTAAAAGCAACATGTTCATATCTCACACTTTACGGAAAAAACTAACTGAAACTCAAAGGCAGGGTCTATGGAAGGCTGAGTAGCTAGAAAAACTTTTAAAGCCGTCCCATGATATCTTCTCCATGCTGTTCTCCAGTGCATTCAATCCGTCCTATCCCCAGTTCAGTTGTGTTAAGTAGAACTGCAGCAACATGGAAATGTAAGCTGCTATGGGCCAATATGGAACACCAGTAAGAAAGTAGCCCAAGTATTACCTCCCAATATTCTGTTTCCAGCTGCCAAAGAGAGACAGTGGTGGTTGAGAAATCTGAAATTACTTTCATTCAATTATTTTCATTCAAGAGCGAGGTTTTGTAAGACCTGCTTTATAGCACAGCCAGAAGTGACCGGTCCCCATGTGGCTGGAGCTATCACGTGGGGTGTTTAATACAGAAGATATATTATAAAGTTATTTTCACGCAAAGCATCCAAACTTTACTTTGGAGTCTACCTCTTCTATGTTACAAACAGAGCACGGGCATGCATTCTAGGAAATGTGGAGGGGGGAGGGCAGAATATAAATCCCAATAAATAATTATTATTCATTCCATCTCTGCAACAAACAACTTGTGGGAGAGGGAACCATGTCTAAATATATGTTGTAAACGTGAACTCTGTGGCCATGTTTTCAGACAAGTGTCTCACGTCCTCACAGACAGAGAGTATGCCAATAGGAAACTTTCAACCCTATGATGCTTGAAATGACTTCAGTGCCAATGAGTGATATCAAAATGGGGGGGGCCTTCTGCTTGGCGGATTGGCGATGGCAGTCGCTCTCCTCAGTTCGCGGGGAGGCGACTAGCACACCAGCGGCAAGGAGGGGTGCTGCCTCAAGCGGCACCCCCACGGAGCCCTTGCGATGGGTTCCAGGCCAGAGGGCTTTTGAGGGTTAGCCTCTTTGTTGGCTCGATATCGGAGAATAGAGGCTTCCCTCCGCCCTGACGGTCCTACTGCTGACTGACCATATGGTACAAGCTAATTCGACCGGGACAAGCGCAGGAGATCGAGCGGAACAACGAATGAGAGAGCGAGGTCTGTGTAAGGACCAACAATGAACGTGAGTTCGAAGTAAACGGACTATTTTGATAAAACTGAGTACCACCACCCCCGTGGGAAAAGCGGAGCGCAAGGAGGGACGCCTCTTGAGCGCAGAGACAGATCAATGCAGCGAAGGGGGTAGGGGGGAAACAAACAGTGAAACTATATTGAGAGACTTACTTGAGTACCGATAGCAAAAAGACGAGTCTTTCGAGTCCTGACAAAGCGGTTTGAAATTGTAAACAAAGAGGGAACATGGCAGCTTCCCGAGGAAAGTTTAAACCGAAACCAGGCAGTTAGAGTCCAAGACTGGAAGAGGGAGCAGACGTCATGAAGTTACTAGCGGATATACTGAAACCGGTAATGGATCAACTCGGTGGTATTAACCAGCAACTGGCTACATTAAATCAAACCTTTGCTCAACAGCAGCGCCAGCTGGCAGAAACGGAGAAGAAAGTGGAGCAAGCTACTGGAAAAATTACAGAAATGGACACCGCAAATAAGAAAGCGAAGAAAAGAGTGACAGATGTGGAAACAACACAAAAACTTCAGGAAACTCGTTTGTTACAGCTTCAAATGGAAAAAGCTAATATGACTCTTAGATTTCAGGGATTGCCTGAAACTGAAAAAGAAGATTTGAAGAAGACTCTGAGCGAGATTATTGCTCCAGTAACAGGCTTATCAGCGGAGGAAATAATAAAAGATATGGAAGCTGCCTATAGGGCATACTCCAATTATATAAAGAAAAATAGCCTGCCTGGAGAGATTGTGGTTAGATTTGCAAGAAGACAGACCAGAGATGCAATATTAAAGGCAACTTCGGCAAATCCACTGAAATCTGGGAATATAACCATCAGAACTTTAAAAGATATTCCATTTGAAATACGTCAAAAGAGGAAAAGCTACAAGGAGCTCATCTCATTTCTTCAAACCAATGGAATTCAGTATCGGTGGGCAATTCCCAAATGTGTCATTTTTAAAATCAACGATAAAAGAGAGAAGATTGACTCCATTTTTAAAGCTAAAGAGTTTTTGAGACGTCAGCTGGGATCAGAGGAAGACCTGAAAGATGAAGAAACTAAATCAAGTGACTCTGCTACTTCTGGAACGGACAAGGGCTCTATGGGCGAAGCAGGAGCGAGAGCAGTAAAAACTGTATATGACTTTAGAGACAGAAAAC